ATATTGATTTCCCCGAGATCCTTAGGTTTACTAATATCTACTTTGGAATATGCAAAATTTTAATAATATAGCTGCTTCTGTCATGAACCTATTTCTCATTTCATCTGTTGAAAATAGCACCAAGTAGAATATGTTGGAGACACATTCCTCTTTCCCTTCAATACATGAACAATCCCTGCAGTTCAGCTGATAAAATGGGTCTTATGTTCCATGCCTTACCCTCATAGTCTCTACGTCTCTTTGAATCAAAACTTTTCTCTGTTCTAGTTTACTTGTCTTTTTCTGCCATTCAGGAGCTAGTGTGACCTTTGTGTGGCTTATCTTAAACTCTATAGTGGTTCCCCTTTGTGTGCAAAGTCAGAGGATTTATTTATAAAGCAATTGTTGAGCACCTTTTACCTGTTAGGTATGGCACAACTGCTGAATTCTAACTTTCATAGCATAACAATCTAATTCTTAACTATCTTTCTAATTATACTTATTTATTTATAGAGGCAAAAAATCAGAGAAAGAGAAAAAGACAAACAGAGAGCTCCTTACCATTTGCTGGCTCAGTCCTAAAACATTTGTAACAGATAGGGTTGGGTCAGACCAAAGCCAGAAGCCAGAAATTCAGTCTGGATCTCACAGTGAGCAGCAGGCATCCAAACCACCTGAGCTATCACCTGCTGCCCCACAGGGTTGGAATTTGGGGCTGAGCTGCGACGTCAGCCCAGATACTCCAATGTGAAATGCAAGCATCCCAAGCAGTGTTTTAACTGTGTACCAAAAGCCTGCCCTTTCAATCATTTGTATGTGTGTGTGTGTATATACATATGTGTGTATATGTTTATATATACACATATATATATGCCATTCTAATTACTATATATATATATATGTATATATAAGGAAATTGCTTTCATCTGTAAGGCTTAAATCAGATATCAATGTTCTTTACATACAAATATGGCTAGTTCTAATCCTACATAAAGTTTATTTCTTCTAGGTTGCTGCAACAGTTGGTACGACTTCTCATAATGGCACATATCTGATTACATACGGATTAGAAATTTGCATATCCCACCCCTTTCAGCAATAGAGTTCCTTTGTAGTAGTCTTATTTAATTATATTTATACTTTTAGAATTCTGTAATATCACTGAAACTCTTTCACTTATTTCTCTGTACTGGAAATATTATTAAATATGCCAGGGAAGACAGTCAGTCCAACTAATATCCCTTATACAAAACATCAGAAACAAAAGAAATATTGCCTGAAAGTAAAGATAAAGGAGAATGGTTAAGAAGTCTGGACTCAATTTTGACTTCGTTATGTTCCCTTTTATCTTTTTTTTTTTTTTTTTGACAGGCAGAGTGGACAGTGAGAGAGAGACAGAGAGAAAGGTCTTCCTTTTTTTCCGTTGGTTCACCCCACAATGGCCACTGCAGCCGGCACACCATGCTGATCCGAAGCCAGGAGCCAGGTGCTTCCTCCTGGTCTCCCATGCGGGTACAGGGCCCAAACACTTGGGCCATCCTCCACTGCACTCCCAGGCCACAGCAGAGATCTAGACTGGAAGAGGAGCAACTGGGACAGAATCCAGCGCCCTGACCAGGACTAGAACCCGGGGTGCCGGCGCCACAGGTAGAGGATTAGCCTTTTGAGCCGCAGTGCCGCCCAACTTGGTTATGTTCTACCATCCATTACCTCGGAGAACTTCTTTACGCATTGTTTGATTTGCTTTTTAACTAAAGAGCATATCACATAAAGCGTATGGTCGTGTGCCTGGCATAGAATAGCACTCGTTGGTGACTGAATCAATGACAAATGACCTCTGGCCCATCAGTTGCATGAATATGACATCACAGTAAACACAGCCTGAAGAGTTGTATTCTTTAGTATTTATTTCCGTACTTACAAGGAAAGTAAACTGATATTGTCATATCCTTTTTAGTTCACGTTAGACAGAAAGAGTAGGTGAAGAAAACGGTTACTATAAAAAGGGATGTCTTTTTCAATAGGATCAGCAATGATTTGAGTGGATGAGAATCACCTGTTGACTCCTACAAGTGGACATTATAAATAATTCACTTAGTATTTTCTGTTCAGAGTGAAATTAATTTAAAGATGAGACCAGCCTGTGAGGCCTCCAAAAGCCATGATTTGTTCATGACCTAGGCCCCCTCAACCCTCTTGGAAAGGTTTCCCCTTATCTCAAAGGAAATGTATATGGACTTTGGATCCACTTCATTCCAGATAACCAAGGGTGGATCTGACCGTGGTGGGAGAAATTTGACAGACGTCTGGTTCTGTACCAAACTATTTTTCACTGGCTGACAAGGGTGAGGTGTGGCGGCTTTATCACTTTATCACCCTGCCACAGGTTTCCTGTGACCCTAGATGAGGAAGCATTCTTCCGTGCCTACTGTCATCATCAACTTCCCTCTGTAGTCACCAGAGTGCATGTGCCAGAACCATTTGAAAATATTTATTTAATAACTATTGTATTCCAGATACTGTGTGGAGTGTGGTCGTGGCAGCACAAGTTATTTCAGTATTTCTTACAGCTAGGGAATATATGGTCTCTGAATTACTTCTAAATTCTCTGTAAATGTGAAGCTGGCCTAAATCTATAGATTAAAGAGATATCAGATAGTTCTGAGTTATAATCATGGCTTAATTCTGCAAATAAAGCTCTGAAAAGGGCCTGCATCTTGCAATAGGGTATTCAGGTTCTTTTCACTTTTGGAACTCTAAGACTGATGACCTTAAAAAAGTCAGTTAACATTTCAAGCATCACTCTCTTCATCTCAGAAATAATAACCACAGCAGTTCATTCCCTTGCTTCTCAGGGGGATTATGTGGACTAATTTAACCAAACATGGGGAAAGATATGGTCAAGTGTAGGCAGAGAGGTGGGACAGAAGGCAAAAACACAAGGAAAATTAAGATATAAGGATATAACAGAAACGAAAAAGAATAAGTGAGTTAAGTAGAGTGGCACCCTGTCTTTAAAAGGGAAGCAGAAAGTTTCAGCCTATCGGCTATATTTATTTATTTTTTTCTATTATTTTTTAAAGATTTTATTTATCTGATAGGTGGAGTTATAGACAGTGAGACGGAGAGACAGAGAGAAAGGTTTTCCTTCCATTGGCTCACTCCCCAGATGGCCGCAATGGCTGGAGATGTGCAAATCCGAAGCCAGGAGCCAGGTGCTTCTTCCTGGTCTCCTATGTAGGTGAAGGGGCCCAAGCACTTGGACTATCTTCTACTGCTTTCCCAAGCCATTGCAGAGAGCTGGATTGGAAGAGGAGCAGCCAGGACTAGAACTGGCGCCCATATGAGATGCCAGTGCCACAGGCAGAGGATTAACCTACTGTGCCACAGTGCCGGCCCCAGCTATCAGCTATATTTAAAAATAATTGAACTGCTGGGTAAATGGACTTGTTTTAATTTAACTTCTGCTCCAGACTGGAGTGTTCATGATCTTCAACAAATCACCTATCTTATTTTACTTTGCTTTCCATTTTTAACCTTTTTTTAAAAATTTGAATGGCAAGGCTAGAGAGGGATCTGCCATCCTTGGAGTCTACTCCCCAAATGCCCACAACAACAAGGGCTAAACGAGGCCAAAGCCAGGAACCCAGACCCCATGAAGGTATCCCATGTGGGTGGCAGGAAGTCAAGCAGTCTAGTCTTCATATACTGCATTCCAACAAGTGCATTATCAGGAAGCTGGATTAGAAATAGAAGTGGGGCCAGGTGCTCTGGCTCAGTAGGATAATCCTCCACCTGTGGTGCTGGCTTCCCATATGGGCACCGGTTCTAGTCCCAGCTGCTTCTCTTCCAATCCAGCTCTCTGCTATGGCCTGAGAAAGCAGTGGAAGATGGCCCAGATGCTTGGGCCCCTGCACCCACATGGGAGACCCAGAAGAAGCTCCTGGCTCCTGGCTTCAGATTATCTCAGCTCTGGCCGTTACAGCCATTTGGGGAGTGAACCAGAGGATGGAGGACCATTCTCTCTGTTCCTCCCTCTCACTTTAGATAGAGACAGAATTTTTAATTCTATCTCTCCAATAAATAAATAAATAAATAACATGATTTTTTTTAAAAAGGAAGTAGAAGTGGCACTTACATATGGTAGTGTTTTTTCTTAAATTTGCTGCTGATGGACCAGTTATATAATGTGCAGGTAGCAATGGCCTACCTTCAGCCAACGGTAAGATCTGCCCCCATTCTTTTTATGAAAACCTTATCAACCCAAGTCTCTCAGTTCTTAATGAAATACACTCATTGTCTCAAGGTTAGTCTGTCATCCCTCACATGTTTGACTTTTGTTATCTTCAAAGATTTTGCTAATGATTGCGGAGGAAACGCAAACTGAAACCAATCCTCTATATTGTTGCACTTCTTCCAAAGAGATGCTTTTTATCTTTTTCAGATGAATGGGTGAATTCTAAACACCTTCAAAAGAAAGTTGATCTTGCAATCCATTGCTTAGGGAAATGACAGCCTTGAAATATTCCCGAGTTCCTCCAGTTAATGTACTTCGATTCATCCTTTCAGACTAAGCTTAAATATTTCATTCAGGAAATATTTCCCAACCACTCCAGTGAAATGTGACTTCTTCATCCGTGGACTATAGGAGCCAAGTTTGCTTTTCTAACACATGGTTGTGAGCTACCATGCATTCTCCCCCCTAGGTGGCAATTCATTGACTTAGTGGGTAGAAATTATTTTTATTCTCTCCTTAATTCTTTTCTCTCAAAACAATGCCTACCACAATGTTTTTCATATACTGTGTAAGGTGCTTGTGGCCTCAGTGTTTTTGAATTTTATCTTCTCCCCTTATTTGACTGCGAATCTTCTGGGAAGCTAGCAAAGATAAGAATCATGCTTTTGTGTATATTTTTGCTTGCTGGTTTTTAGTTACCTAGTGTCTTTTGGAGTATTTGGCATTCAGTCATTCCTAAAAACACATGAAAGATACAATCAGAAAAAGAAAAAGGAGGAAAATGCATAAGGAAGAAAAGACTGAAAGAACTGCAATTATGTTGGAAATGACCATTTCAGAGAATGGCATCACATCAGGACACCAAGGACTATGCAGAGGGAGCTGTTTTGACCCCCAGTTGTAGTAAGGGTGAAAAACAGTGATTTTCTCTGGGTGAGGTTATGGTGGAGGGATTGGTGTAAAAGTCAACCTTTGAGAAACAAGTGAAATAATTGGGCTGACCATCAACATGACTGGGCAAGAAAAACCGTCAGGAAAAGCCACATATAAAATAGTACTGGATGTTGAGAATGCCAGGGAACACTTAATATTTCAAACAGATCACAGAGCAGGGCCTGTGACACACTGAGTTGGCCTGCACAATGCTGCAATGGTATTGTAATGGCTCCTTCAGCCTGGTACAGGATGCTTTAAATTCAGTGGTACTACATGAGAAACAACAGGGATATTGAGAAGGCAGAATATCATGAATGGAGTAGATATGACATGCATGAGGGTACTAGTTGAGGAGAATAGAGTATATTTACCATAGAGCCTTTATAACATCATACACTATATCATACGCACAAAAGACTATAATGAACTTAACCTTCAAACCACTGATAAAAAAGTCTCAAAATATCAAAGGTAGTACACATTTCATACTCTCAAAAGTAGTCTCTGAGGACATACACACATTGTATATACAGCTAAAGCAATTCCTCTTCTATCCATTCTAGAACCTAAGGTTTATCAGCCATGTTCTAGGGAGATCAGCATCCCAAACCAAAGTAGGCGTGTGAGGAATGTCAAAAGCTAAAGTGTTCCCAGGAGCCAAATGCTGGTGTGTGGTGTCTCGAATCCTCTGGAAGCATGACTGGGAGTGGATGTAGTAGGGACTGGCTGGAGGTTGAGGTGAGGCTCCGCTGAAGCCCGTGCACAAATTCACGCACATCCGACTGTGGGAGAGAGGAGCTGACAGACAGAAGTGTAATTTTGTTACCTTGGTGTTGTTGAGACTCATGGCTTCTTCATAAAATACTCATTGAAGTTGTGAAGAAAAGTAGAGAAAACAGGAGTGGCCTTAAGCCAGAAGATTTACCATCTGAATGTATTTATTCTGCTAATTAAATATTCATCACCAAAGGCTTCTAACTTGGAATGTCATGGAGATATGAAAATAATTACTCTTCTATAGCTTAAATGTTCCAATCCTCTCCAATTCAGCAGTGGAGCCCTCTAAAATGACAGATCTCAGATATCCAGGCCGTTTCTCTATTGTCATCCTCCAAAAATGAGGAAAGTATTTTGAGACATACACCATTGTTCTTGTACAGATGTCTGAAACTCAAGTCTTGGCATTTTCTACAGGTTCTACGAAGGTTTTATTTTTTTTTCTTCTTTTGAGTTTGATGAACACCTGTGTTCTGCATCCTGAAATTGTAACACAAAATTCAGTCCCATTCCCTTCCTAATTTTAGACCTCACATTCAAATCAGAGAACAAAGATTGACAAATAGACTCTTGAGTCTATGGTACAAAAAGTTTATTTCCCCATGTCTCAAATGAAATACTGAGCACAGTTTTTAACCATTATGAAACATTTATTTGTTGCAAGACAACTTTGAAATGAAGTATGTTTATATAAGCTTAGATATTATGGCTATTTTCTTCCTTTGTAATAGCCTTATATTTCAAAGAATTTTTTGGATCTATAAGAATGCAAAGAAAATCAGAAAATTAAGTGGGAAAATACAAACAATATTTTCCACTGAGCTCGGTTTAAGTAACAGATCAACTAGAGAGTAAGAGCAGCATGTCATAATTCCATTGTTGTATGCTTTGCAGTGAAAGCCTTCTTACAGAATTTGGAACACATGAGGCATAATTGACAGAGAAATATAAAGCAGGCTAAGCACAAGGGGGCATCAGTAGCAATAACAGGAAACATGGTACTCTCTCTATGAAGCTTCAAGCCACTACTTTACTCCATATTAACAGACTCCCTCGGAAATAGCTCCAAAGATTTTTGAAGAGAACAGGCTTTAAGTCATAAAGTAGTAGGTGGTCGGTGATCTAATAAAGTGAACGGGGTCATAACAGTAGAATCATGAATAGTTTAAACAAATCATGGAAATTATTTTTCAGGGCATTCTGGTGTCTTCTCATTTTAAATTAAATGTAATAATCTGAGAAATATTTTTTACCTTTATAACAGAAATATTAGACATCACAATAAATAAAGCTTGTAACATTTTTTCAAAAATATTTAACAGAATGTTTGCTATGTACAAAGGATATCTCTAGACTCTGAATATGTAGCAGTGAAAAAAATTAAATAATAATACAAGTGAGTTAGGCGACATATGAAAGTTTGTTTTACTCAAACCCTCCAGTAGTTCCTAATTATTTTTCTCTCAATCCATTTTTCTTTTAAAAATTATTTTTGTAGGACCTTTCAGCATTTTGAATAACAATTAACCAAACTAATAGTTGTATACAGACATTCATTACAACACTATTCACAGCATCCAAAATGTGGACATAGTCCAATAGATGAATGGATGAACAAAATACAGAATATGCAGTGGAATATTATGCAGCCATAAGAAAGAAAAACCATTCTGGTACAACATGGATGAGCTTGAAAAAATTGCTAAATGACAGAAGTGAGATAAAGTTGGCAAATATTTTGTGAGTTCATTTACATGAAATATTCAAAATAAATAAATGCCTAGAGACAGAAAAGAGAGCTATAGTCACCAGGGGCTGGAGGTAGGGATGAAGAATGGAGAGTGACTACTTAAAGGGGAAGAAGTTTTCTTGTGGAATGAAGAAAATGCTTTGCAAACTAAGAGAAGTAGTGGCTTCATAGCATTGTGAGTTCACTTAATACCAGTGAGTTGTACACTTTTTTTTTTTTAAGATTTATTTTTATTTATTTGAAATACAGAGTTACAGAGAGAAATAGAGACAGAGAGAGGTCTTCCATACGCTAGTTCACCCCCTAGACGGCCTCAACAGCTGGAGCTGAGCTGATCTGAAGCCAAGCTCCAGGAGCTTCTTCTGGGTCTCCCACGTGGGTGCAGGGGTCTAAGGACTTGGGCCATCTTCTACTGCTCTCCCAGGCCATAGCAGAGGGCTGGATCAGAAAAGGAGCAGCTGAGGCTAGAACCAGTGCCCATATGAGATGCCAGCTTTAACCCACTGTGTCACAGCATCAGCCCAAGAGCTGTATGCTTTAAAGAGGTTAGTCTGATCTTCTGTGGATTATACTTGAGTAGAAACATCAAGCAAATATGGAAAAATTTTGAAAATGTTGAAAAAATAAAATTCTCTTTATACTTTATTTATTTGAACTATTTTAAATAAAATGATGAGATTAATTTTATTATTTAGTTACTAATATCTGGATGAGCTGAGGATATAAACTGCTGTGCCGTCACACAATTGGTTTGATTGGGTTAACTGTCAGGACAATAGAAATCATTGAAATGACCAGGTCTGGTTGTGTCACCACTTCTAGACCTGGTCCCAGTCAAGGGTTTCTTTACTTCAAAATTCCTAAGGCAGTTGCTTTAGGGTTTTGGACCAGTCAGTGGAAGAAATCTGCACAGTGGAACGAAGTCTGTCCAAGAGCCAGGAGACAGAAATTTAATTCTCATTTAGTTGAAACCTCCAGTGTGGTTAAATCTTGGAGAGAAGCAGTAATTTCAAAGAAAAGAACAAGCTATAATCTAACCTGAGAGGCTATCCAATCTTGAGTTCAAAGTAAGGTAATGCACAAACAAACTAAAAATATGAATAGGGGATAAAGAAAACTTCATTGAAAATTAAAAACACAGTGTTGAATCTGTGTTTATTTATATAAATCAGATCATAAATTGTTATTTTTTTCTTATATGTAGACTTATAAAATCTGTTTAGTGGAGATAGTCACCTTTTTCACATGGATGGGATATTTGTTGGAATAGGTTGGGTTCTCAGAAAAGACATTTTTGTAAACACATAAAGGTGCTTAAAATCTAAATTTCTTGAGAAATATCAAATCAGAGAAGGTATAAAAAATTGGGGGTGATAGTGTTACAGTGTACCGGGTAAAGTCTCCACCTTCAATGCCAGGATCTAAATGGGTGCCAATTCAAGTCCCAGCTGCTCCACTTCTGGTCCAGCTCTCTGCTAATAAGCCTGGGAAAACCAGTGGAAGATAACCAACGTACTTGGGCAGCTGCTATCCACCTGGAGGATCTACAGGAAGCTCCTAGAGTCTGGCCCTGTGCTAGTCACTACTGCATTTGGGGAGTGAACCAGTAGATGAAAGATTCTCTCTCTCTCTCTCTCTCTCTCTCTCTCTATATATATATATATATATATCTGTGTTTCTTTCTATAATTCTGCATTTCAAATTGGGGGGTAAACCAATGGAAAAGGAAGACCTTTCTCTCTCTCTCTCTCTCTCACTGTCCACTCTATCTGTCAAAAAAAAAAAAAAAATCCAAAATGTTGCTTGTCCTGCAAGCCCGCACTGTCGCACTGTTGAGGACAGCAGGGTGACAGTGTCCTTCCCACAAAAAGCATCGGAGACAAGTTTTGGAGAACTTGTATTCAGGGCAGGGAGAAGAGGTATAACTAATTCAAGGAAACACCAATACTATAGGACAGAACTGACAATGGTGCCAATATGCCTCTCCAATCAGCTTGAAGGCCATGTAGCCAGGGTAGCTTTTCAGGTGGACCTGGGCCACACCTGGGAGCAGTTTATCTGATTGACAGATGGTGGACGTGGGAAGAAATGTACCTGGAGCTCCCGCCGCCTACAAATAGTCAGGTTAACTGCATGGACTAGGCAGGCAGCCTCTTGGGATCGCCCACATTAGGACTTGAACTGGCACCCATACGGGATGCTGGCACTGCAGGTGGTGGCTTTACTCGCTTGCCACAGCACTGGCCCCTAAAGTACTAGTAAAGTACTACTATTAAATTTCCTGTATAAATATGTCATCCATACCTATTTTTTAAATTCCATTGACATTATAGTGGATAAACAATCTTTAATTATAAATTAAATGCTCAGTGCTAAAACTTACCATGATTCTTGTATATCACACCATTTCTCTTGCTATACGTTGTAATAAATGGATTTGTTTTGTCTGCTTATGCTCTTAAAAATTGTAATGATGCAGTGCTTAGAAATAACGCTTGTTATTAACCCCACCTCAGTAACACTAAAGTGTAGATTTCTGTAGTGGTATTGGTATTGTAGTTGTTGAGCCACTGATAACAGCACTTATTTATTATTGCATATTTTTTGTGGATGAGGGGTTTGTGAGTGGCTTAGCTAGGTGCTTCTGATTCAGGATATCTCATGCATCTTGAATTACCATTTCAACCCCAGCTGTAGTCATTGCAAATATCCACTAGGAACAATAAATCAATTTCTGCATCTGTTGACAGGGCTTGGAGATCCTTCCAAGATCACTCCCTTGGCTGGATGAATGCCTCAGAAGATCTTCTCAGTTCACTCCCAGGGGTCTCTCTTCATAGCTTTTATTACAAGGTAGCTGACTTTCCCCAGAGCACATGATCTAAGAGAGCAAGAGAGAACAGTCAAAGTAGATGCCACAGTCCTAAGCGATGTCATCTTTGAAATGGGAATGCATCACTGAGGCCATATTTTGTTCATAAAAATGATTCACTTACTTCAGTCTACACTCCGGAGAAAATCACCTAAGAGCCTGGCCTTATTGTAAAGATATGGCTAGTTAATGTTAATTAAACAATTTTGTTAAACTCTCAGAATTTCAGTTTTATTCTCTTGTAAAATACTTCCTCATACAGACCTTACAGTGTTTTGGGCAAAAGCAAATAATGATCTTCAAAGTAGATAAGGGGAAGTGATAGCAGATAAAGTCATTATCATAGTCAATCTCCATCAAACAGGAGAGAGGCATATGCTTATTGAAATACCCTAAATACTCCCGATATGCACGCAACAGCGTCCTCAGAAGGAGGAGGGCAAAAGGTTGCTACGATTATTGACTATTGAGTGCTGAATTGCATAAGCCTTAGAAGGCTTAATTTTTCATTATTTTCCTTGATTCAGTCTCAGTGATGGCCTTTAACCTCCATTTCACTTAGTTGCTAAGACATTTCTGAAGGGTCACTAATTGGTGGAAAGTCACAACACAGAGACACATATACATACAAATTCCAAAAGATGAAGCAAATGACATAGAAAAGGTAGGTGCTAAGGCACTTTGTGCAAGAATCGTCCTTAAAGATATGTAAAATCAACGAAATTTGTGCTATATCATGGCCTTGTGAAACTGAGGGTTTATGCCACAATCCCTAGAGATCTGACTTAGAGATCTAATTACTTTCGTTAGGACCATATTTACAAGCTCTTATGTCTGCAAAGGCATGTATTCATTTAGGTGGAAACATACTAGAGAAATGTATGAAGAAAGCTAGTTTTAGGCTAATTTTTAGGAATTAATAAAGTATGTAATTTTTTCTTGAACAATATCACTGCCTTTAACTTTTCCCTGCCATTAGAAGTACTCTGCCTTACGTTCATCCTCATTCCTACCTTCATGTGGTTGGGCGAACTAATTTCCAAACAGCAGACTTGCACTTCACTGAGATGTCTCTCTCTCTCTTTTCCATGAACTTAATGATTGCTATGAGATGCTTCAAACTGTGCCTTGCCCGGTCTTTCTCCAAACAGACATGTTGGGGTGTACAGCACTTATGATACTGACTTCTGTGGAATGTGAATCTCAGGCAGGAATTCCAGTAACTCTGTAGCTAAGGCTTCTGTTAGGGAGAATGTCCAGCTCTTTCTATTGTATTGGTCTGATTACACTTGCAGCTAGGGGGCAGCATGAAGAATCTTGGATTATATTGTCAGTGTTTCTATCTCTTCCTTAATCAAGTCTTCCTGCTTCAAGGTCTGTGCTAATTCACCTCTAGATCCACCATGTTAAGCATTTAAGAAACGCTCAGTAAATGTTTTATTGAATAAAACAGAGCAGTACGGAAGTACACAGAGAATTTTGAAATAAGGAAGATCATGGTAAGGGCCATTAGTAAGGCACATAAAGATTTCCATAGGGACCAAACAGAAAATAGCCATCACCTACCTGTTAAACCATGTGGGGCTGTTTTGAAAATCAGTGAGTGAGGGAACTGGTGATTCTGAAGCTTAAAATCAGTGCCATTACTTACTTTTGAACATTGAAAACTACTGGACTGAAATTTCCTAGTAAATGCATTGACAACACTGATAGTAAGCAACATTAGAAATGCATATTATCATACTCATTTCTAATTAATCAACACCCAAGTGATTGTCAACATCTAGTAGTATTTATCAATTCTCCTAATAGAGCAATATGTAAGAAGTGTATTTATACATATCATATAGTCTCTGTCACAGAACACGAGGCTAAAAAATGGGCACTTTTATCTCTCTTATTAAAACATTGAAGAAGGAGGAAGGGGGGAGGAAGAAGAGCAAGAGAAGGAGGAAAAAAATTTTCAGTAGCAAGTAATTATTTGCAAATATTCAGCACTGCGCTAAGAGGAAATTCAGTTAATTTGTGTGGAAGATATTCTCTTGTGTCACAATTTCTATTACACAAAAGGTGAGAAAAATAATGGACTTCAGTGAGAGGTTAAGAGACAGTTCTGACTATTTGATCTCTTAAAAGCTATTATACTTTTAAGACTTGTTGAAAATGACCCTTGTTCTTGCATTTCTTGATTTCTATAACAAATATGTGACTTGGTTTGTTTGCCTTGTGGTTTCTGGAGACAAGATAATAATTGGGGGACTCCTCAGGAGGAAGGAATATCTGCTCTGTAGACCTCAGTCTTTTGGTTCTTTCTTCCTTAAAAAATGTTTTAAAGACTTGATTTTGTTTTTTTGAACAAGATTACAGCCACTGAAACATTGAAGGAAGGTACAGAAATACCCCAGTTGTGCACAGCCTCCTCTGTTATTAACCTCTTCCTCCAGAGCACGGCAGTTTTCACAATTGATGAACTTATGTGAAGATGCTGCCTGTACCTTTAATTTAAATTAGGGGATAGCAAGTTCAGTAACCAGATTAGGAAGTTTAAATAATTTGGCGAAGGTCAGGGTTTATATCGGAGCATCACAATTTGATTTCACCATGGCTGACTCTCAGAATCCAGTTGTATATTATGACCTTCTTACAAATTACTTTACATGGCACGGCATAGCTGAATAAACTTAAGCTCAACTAAAGTACTCAAATTCAAATCTGGGAGATGGAGGAGGCAGCAACGTACTGGTTCCTCAGGAATCCAGAGGCTTTGCTTCTTCCCTTCATAAGGACACGTTCTGCCTCGGGTGCTTTCATTTGTTTTGTTTCTATCATGGTCATGAGTTCAGTGCCAACTAGACTTGTCCATTTAGCCCCTGGTGCCTTGTAGATTTATAAGACCACAGATAAGTAAAGAAGTTCATGCAGGAGCTGTAGAATAAATGTAGGCTTTGGAATCAAAATTCACGTAATTCACTTTAAATTTTGTCTGAACTCCTTGGTATCCCAGTGAACTTCAGCAAGATATTTACATTTTCTCTACTTTTACTTGCTGCATGCATTCATTCCACTGCATTTAATTCCTGCAAACTCTGTAGGTGCTGCCTTCTGCACACCAAGGAGCTTGCAGATAGCAAAGCCATGCTCTATCCTCAGGGAACAGATTATTTTAAGAGACATATTAATAACAAAAAAGCATACTTGAATATACACAGGAATAAAAATAAAGCAGAATGGAGATTGTGACTTAAATACAGATGTGTATAAAGCCTAATAATACAAATTTTATCTTATTGAGTGTTCACATGTGGTAGTAATAAACCATAGGATATGTATTTTTCTAAGACTTATGTTATTTTTATCTGAAAGGTAGAGTTACAGAGGGAGAGGGGAGACAGAGAAAGAGGTCTTCCATTTTCTGGTTTACTCCTCATATGGCTGCAGTGACCAAGTCTGGGCCAGGAGAGAGGAGCTTCCTCCTGGTCTCCCAAATGGGTACCGGGGCTCAAGGAGTTGAGCCATTGTCTGCTGCTTTCCAAGGCCATTAACGGGGACCTAGATTAGAACTGAAATGGCTGTGTCTTGAACTGGCACCCATAGAGGATGACAGGGCAGGCAGGGGTTTTACCTGTTGTTTACTGCAACACTGGCCCCACTATGTATTTTTCCTGTTTCCAGACCTGGCAGGATGGTTAACTAGGGTTTATCTGGAGTAATGATGATTGAGTAATTGTAAATCAAGTGATTATATTGAGGGGGAGACAGAGCACATCCATTCAGAAGAAATGGTAAATGTATAAACACAGAGTTTCTCCAAAAAATATAAGGCCTCATCTCTGGATACTGGGAGACTAGAAGGCAATGAGTAGAGTGGGACATGAGGTCAAGCAGACCCCACCTGGCCATAGTTAGAATTCTCCATCTTAATGGTTTATGAAAAGTCGCAGAGGGACTTTGAGCAGAGAAGTGGCACTGTCGTATTTCCTTTTCAAAAAGTGCCATCTTTTCATGGACAGGATTCCTACCTATTTTACATGCAACCAGTACACAAGACCAACTATACAACACATGAGCCAGGCACAATGTCTGAATCAAAGTAGATGTACACAACCACTAGCTCTTTTCCAGCTCATTCCCTTATTAAATACAGAGAATTATATTTCTGTAGACAAGAGGTACCCTGCTTAGAAAAGGGATTTTCAGTGGTGTGTTTCCTTGAAAGTAGTTTTGTCCCCCTTTGTTTTTGGACAATAAATGGGCCTAGGCCTGAAAAGTGGCCTGAGAACATTGATTCTTACAAAATCTCTGGGGAGGCAACAAGTGCAGAGTCAGAACAAGAACAAAGCAGAGAGAAGGCTTGATTTAAGTGGGAGGCAGAAAATGAGTGGATTAGCTCAAGTCAAAGGGAGTGAAATGAGGGAGAAAATGGAAGAAGTGAATGCCTGTTGAAATAACAAGTAACTGGCTGTGACCTTTTGGCTGCAGATGGCTCAGTCAACCAACAGGCCTCTTTTCAGCAGGCACTAGATTCTCTAGGAACTGCAAGGGTCTCAGGAGGGGGCAGGGGCTTCCAATTCTGAGCACAGAGAGTTCCCCTCAGTCCTGCAAACAGCTGATGAGAGGGGAAACCTACTTTCAGTGCTGACAAAAGCACCCCCAAGGGAGCTGATGGTTTATAGAATTTCTTCCAAAGGAAACTCTCTTCCAGTTGATGACAAACTGGATCCAAACAAACTCCACAAACACCACATTTCAAAAAGTGATGTGCTCAGGTAAGAACATTGCTGAGACCAGGATTCGTAAATTTATTACTCCTTCCATTTATTCTTCGAGAAACTTTTCTGTGCCAAGGACTGTTTCAGGTTCTGAGGATCAAATGCTGATCAAAATCTCTGCTTTCTTAGAATAGGACATTGTAGGATGAAGAGGTAAATAATAGATAAAGATTGTGCTAAATTAAGGTATATTAGATGGTGATAATTGCAGGGGAAAATATTAAAAGTGGTAGATGCCTG